GCCGATCCAACCGAGTTTTGTCTATCGTGCATTTCGGGTCGCACGGTCTCTCCCGGTCGCCATCTTTGCAACTTGAGCGAGTTCAGTCTCTTCTGGTTGTCTTCGGCGGCGTCCACCTCGTCGACCCTCGGTAGTGAGCTCGCAGCCATCCTTGGCGGTGGCGTCACGACAGCGGCAGTCGACCCATTCGTTGATTTCCTGCGGTTGGCTTGGTCCTGGATGGCGGCCCATTTCCTCTGGCGAAGGGCTTCCCTCGAGGCGGCGCTATTCTGCTGCTCGGTATACTCGTGCGAGCAGTCGTCGAATAGTTGAGGGTTGATCTCCATGAACAGCTTCATGGCGTTGTAGACCATGCCATGGATCGTCCTGCAAAGCCGTCAATCATCAAAAGTCACGGTCAAACCCTAGCAGCGGGATACTAACCTGTTCCAGTGACCCTTGGAATTCTCGTAGAGCGGCGCAAACATGATCGGTAGAATGATTTCGACGTTGTCGCTGACCAGGTTGCAGAAGTACTCGTTGTTCCAGAAGTAGAGCGCACGTTCGGCGACCTGGAAGTGGGGACTCGCCACGGATTTCGCCAGTTGATGGAACAAAGGTTCTTGGACCTTGGCGAATTCGGCCGGGTCCATGACTTCAAAGATGTCCTCAACCTCGTTGAGAAACATGACCTCTTTGGTGCTGTTGACCTTGGGCCAAAACCGCAGGAGACCAAGCACAACCTGAGTCTCAAATCAGCAAGCGAGTCTAGAGGCGATCCATTGCAGGGACATACCTCTTCTGTCAGCGAAGCATCCTTCTCTAGGAATTGCACAATACAGTAGGCGAGTTGAGGATGGTACATGCTCAAGCTCTTCACCTTGTGGAGAGGAATCAGAACCCTCGTCAGGAAGAGCTTGTGCTCCTCCTTTAGAGGGAGGGCAAAGCCGTTGATGATGGAACCGAGGATCTCGAGAAGCTCGGCGATGCCATTGAACCGCTCAGTTTCGTAGGTGAACTGGAAGAAAACGTTGTTGATGGAACGGCGGATAAAAGATCTAAGGTTGAGGAATTTGCCGTATATGCGGTGCAAAGTAGTCTTCAAGAAGTCTCGTTCCTCGCGGATCTTCAGAATCGAACAGCTCAAGGAGCTGAAGTACGAAGCTGTGATCAAATGTACGCTTTCGCGATATTCGTGTTGAAGTCCTGGCTTTCAATGAAGCGGAGGAAGAACTCGTACACGACCTGAATATGGGGCCAGGCAACTTTCCAAAACGGGCTCGTCCTCTTCGGGGTCGAAGGCCTCGCCCTGGGGGTTCATGGGAGGCTGGGATCGGACGGAACAAGTTCTTGGCAAACATACCAACAACGACCGGGTACATGGGTTCCGTGATGACTTGCCGGTTGTTGGCGACATAGTCCAGCAGCTCGTGGAGAGCCAAGCGCTTGATTTCCTTAGACTTCATATCGGCGCTGGCATCATTGAAGTCAAAAATGACGTTGCACTGCTCGATCTTCTTCATGAAAAGGTCCTCTCGGCGTCCGGGCGGGACCTCGTGGAAGCCGGGGAGCTTCTCGAGCTCACGGTGGGCAGAGATGTCGAAGCGGGACGAATGCTGCCGCCTCGGCGTCTTGGGCCCTTCCAAGACATCCTTAGGGGTCTGTTGCAGGCGGTCATACATCAATGACTTCTGGCCCGCCTTGGGGGGGGCGAGATCGTGCGGCATGGTCTCAGCAGCACCGGGTGGCGGCACATGCTGCAGAGCGGTGTCAGTACCGTACGGATCAAGGTCAACATAGTGTCTAATCTCACCGGAGCGCTCGGGCTGATTATAACGGTCGGGGGTAAGGGCCCGTGCCTCGCAGGTGTTCCGCCGCCATTGGCGCCTTGTCCGGGACCACCGGTGTTAAATCTATCCGGTAGAGCAGCGTTCCCGCCATTGTTGAGTTGGGCTTGCGCAGCCAACGCTGCGTGGTCGACGTGGGAGGCACTGTTAGTAGGCAACGGCTTGTTACGGATATCGTTGAGGGTCGAGGTAGAGGACGACGGGGTCAAGACGGGCGACTGGTTTGTAGCGGCGGCATTCGGCGACGCTGTTCCATCCTTGGAATCCTTGTTCTTCTTAGAGGACTTGCTGTCCTTGCCTCGCGAGAGCTGCACCATAACAAGGTCAGCAGGATGCGCAATGTGTCTCTCCCAACCGACTTACGACTTTGGCGCCGAAACGCTTCATCTTTGAAGACAACAGCTTCTCTTCTGTGGGCGACTAGAGGCGCCCAGCTCGACCCTTCTTCGAACCGGAGCAGCCTGTTGATAATAGGATGTTTCAGTTACTGGGAGGGTATCGGCTCGACTCTAGTCCTCATATGATGCGATCCCCCAGGCGGTTCAGGATGAACCACCGTGTTGGACAACCGACGTCGTCGATAAATCGAAGGAAGGGTAGGTCGGCGCAGGGTATCCCAGGCACAGCCGTGCCGCTAAAATGGTCAGAGCGGCGCAGTCGGGAGGCTCCTTTTGAATCGGCGGTTTCCTTGCGGCTGGGCGAGACTGGCGGCGGCGGGTCTAAGGGGGGTAGGGAGCGAGGGCGGCAATTGAGATGGAGCGCGACGAAACAACTTGGCGCTGATGGGCCGAGATGCCTGTCAGAGTGGTTGGATGCAGTTAGAACCTCAACTTTTCGGCGTTGGGGCGGTGGTAATGTTTATTGTTGTTGTTTTGTGATTTTGTGAGGGGAACAGACCTTGGAATCGCTGTGCTGGGCAGTGCAGTGCCAGGGCGTTTGGGAGAGATGTAGACTGTTCTGCTCCTGCAGGAGCTGCGATGAGCGCACGTCCCGGCAGCTACTGTGTATTTGCCGGGACTCCTGTGTCGCTGACACCGTCCGGGTCCGTGTCCTATGTCTTCAGGTCGATCTAACGCGGCTGCGGTCCAGGGGTCGACTGGGGGCTATGAAAGTCAGACGGTCAAACAAATAGATAGTGTTGACGGTCTAGCCGCACTGGTTCCGGGACCTAAGTGTACGCGCATCCGTAATTTTTGGAGCTGCTTGGTTTCGAGTGTTTCGGAGATCGGGAGCTGAGTTGAGTTCAGGCTGGGCGATGGTGAGTGCAGGGAGACGGGATGGATGGAGTAACGAGGTCGGGGAGCCGGGCTTGGATGGAGATAGGTGTGTGTGCGAGGTGCAACAGCCGCATTCGCTTGCGTATTTTCAGGTCTAAGGAGTTCACTACCAACCAGGTAAAAAAGTAGAACTCACTACCAATCCCCGCCTTGCTGAACAGCGGGTGTTCAGCAGAAAGGAAGAGAAGTCGGTTCGTGAATGGAAGGCTGGATACAACGGGCTGGCTGTTAGTGCCAGGGAGGGGACGCGGTTTGAAGCTTAACAACCCACCAAGTGTCCCGCTTTGGTATTGTTGGCACCAATCCGAAACGAAACCACGGTTGCTTACGATATTTCAATCAAGTTATCATGGAGCCTGCTCTCCACCTCAACTACCTGGACTCTTCAATCAGCTTCACATTGTGGATCTGATGTCGTTTTATGGCTCGTGTATCTGTCTTATACAACTACCCTTTTTTCCAGGACAGCATAGAAGTTATTTCGAGTCAAATGCGTTGAAACGGGACACAATGTAAAATCTCCGTTCCATCGTCGCGGTAACTCTCTATCATGTGGTAATTACGACCAGTGGTCCCTGCATCCCGCCTGCGGCGCAGAATCGCGCACTGACCAGCCCTCGTGCTGATCTGGTCCTTGGCCAGCACCGGTTCCTGCCATCAATTGGTGTGTGAATTCTTCCCAGAGCTGGATTTGGAGATGCATTTTATCAGACTTGAATGTAAGACTATGAAATGATGCAACTATTGCCGTATTATTTCTCTGCACAACCAATTGCATTATACGGAGATGCAACTTGTTTCTTTAATCGGTAAAACCGCAAGTTTCGAAACTTTTGGTGGAACTCAACAGCAATCGAAACACTACTGGCGCTCATATCAACATCTTCTCTTATCTCCATCCTCATTTAGTTGAGTGCAAACCGGCAACCTTCGAAAAGTCGCAACAAGTAAAAAGTTAGAAGTTGGACACACATCAATCACATTAACCACGATGGCGTCCTCTCTTCATTTTGAGGATGGCGAGACTGCACCGACATACACCATCCCTTCAAGGCGGCTGGGCGCACTTGAGCATCCAATGATCATCAAAAACCTCGATAAGGGAATCAACACATTTGGCCAAAATAATGCGTTCCAAGCCGTATGTTTACCGTTGCGCGTTAACAAAATTAAAATCAAGTTTAACCCCGCTTAGATTCTCGATTCGGCCAGCCCCCAGATCTCGGTTCCGCTATACCTTCGCTATGACAACCCAACAGCGAGACCACTAACATCGCACAATGCCTTGACACACAATGTTGTCTTGAAGGTTACGGTCCCGAAGCGTACCGGAAGGAAACGCAAGCGGGGTACCGACGGCCCCTGGGAAGGGGAAGTTGAACAACCCGCTCATGGCGGGAGCTCAGTCGTCTCTCCTGAGGTCCTCTCGAGGGATAGGCTCGACACACCACAAGTTATCCGGCGCAAACTCCAGGACAATGTTGGGAAGTACGTGGTCGAACCGGTCGGTGTCATAAATAACACCCACCGGTACAGAGGTTAGCATCCCCTTTCGTATCAGATGTTGCCCTAGACTAAGTAAAATGATGATAGGCCTCGCCGATTTCCAGTTCGCTCTTGGAGAGTCCAGCTTCATGAATAAATTCGTCGACAAGGTGCTTCCCGGTGATGTTGCGAAGTTAAAAGAATTCTCACTTCAACCAGGCATCGAATCGGGTTCCAATATCGACCTTATCCCACCTCCTTATTTCACCCCCATCACGCTCCCGTTTGGTTACAACTACGCACAAAACCCCCATACCAAAGAGGTCAGCCCCAACCACTCCGATGCCTCCGGCAACTTATCCGAGGACCAAGAGTACGAGCGGGTTGTCAACATCACCTCCCGTGTGCCCGCCGCTGGCTATTTTATCGCACACGACGAATACCCCGTTCCGACCGCCCCCCGTCGCCAGCCCGACATGTCGGACCCGCAGGTGGCCGCTATCATCACCGAGATGCGCCAGGCCATGGACGAGCGCCCGATCTGGACGCGCCGCAGCATGTGGAACCGACTGGGGGCCAAGTTTGCCGAGCTGCCCAAGAACGGCGGTCTCGTGCGCCACTGCCTGCAGTATGCCGGCTACCAGTTCAAGGGCGGGCCGTGGCGCGACGCCCTCGTCCGGTACGGTCTCGACCCTCGTGCAGACCCCCAGTACCGCATCTACCAGACCCTCATCTTCAAGCTGCACAAGACCCGCATCGGGTCGGTCGGCCGCTCGTGGCAGGCTGTGCGCCGCAAGGAGCTCGGCGTGTCCAACTTTGGCAAGGCCTGGCAGGACCTCGGCGTCGGCGACGAGGCCATGCTTAACACGCACGTCTTTAACGGGGAGTCGTTCAGCACCGACGGCAAGGTCTGGCAGGTCTGCGATATCACCGACCCACTCCTGTCAAGGCTGTTTGCCGACGCCGAGCAGCGCACCGAGTGCGACGTGGAGATCAGCGGCTTCTACCACCGCGTGCTGTGGTCGGTGGCCAAGGCGATCATGAAGTGCAAGATGGTCGCCATCCGGTTCAACCGCACGCTGACGGACGACGACTTTGGCGCCGCGCTCGAGGTCGTCCGGGGCGTGCCGCACGACGGCGGCGACGGCGCCGGGCCAGGTAATAGCATTGGCATCAGCCTGCCGGACCTGCAGCTGACGGCGGCCGAGTACGACCAGCTCCGCGGCGGCAAGTATCGCCCGCGCCCCGGCATCAAGTCCTCCGGGCGCGAGGTCGTCGAGGGCGTCACGCGGCGGCGCAGGACGCATTACCGCGTGCGCATCCCGTTGAAGGAGGCCGAGGAACGCGAGGCTCTCAAGATGATTAAGCTGCTCACGCAGAATGTGCCGGACAACAAGGCCACCGAGGAGCCCGCTGACGGGGCTGCGGCTGTAGATACCGTGGAGGGGCCGGCTCCAAGCGCCGCTGCGCTGCGCCAAGCTGAACCCTTCTGATGGCGTAGGGATTGCGGCAAAACGCGCCAGCGTCAGAGAAAATGAGGCGGAGGAAGAAGAAGATGAGAGAGACGAAGAGCGGGGAGAGGGACGCATGTTTCAAGAAATCTTGGAAGACATGGATGAAGAAGGCACCGAGGAAGAAGATGGGAGTGAGGGGGAGGAGGAGGAGAGTGACGAAGAAGAAGCAACGCCTAGAAAGAAGCGGCCGTTCCAGGAGCGTGCGCTGGAAGAGGAGCTGGAGCAGGAGCAGTACGAGGAAGGAGGGTACTCGGACGAAGACGACCAGGAGGATATGGAGGACGAAGAGGAAGAGGAGGAGGAGGAAGACGAATATGGTGGTGGCGAGGACGGCGAGGAGGGCTATGGTGATGAGGAAGAGGAATTCTATGATGAAGAGGGTGAGGGTTTCCCCCAGGCTTGGGAGGATGGAGGGGGGTTCTAGCAAGAACGAGTTTGGCGGTGTGTATTATGAGTAGCCATGGTAGGGTTAGGTCGTGGCATCTTGAGAAGTGCTCCTAGGAAGATGTTAGTGCCCTATAGCCAAAAAAGAAATTGTTATTCATAAAGAAGTACTCAGAAGAAGCAGTAGGAAATAATTCTTCGCATTACAATCGACCATATACCCTCTTGATTCCGACACCTATTATCCCATACTCGTATCCTGCAACGCCCCTCCGGCAACACCGCCCATCTTTCCGTGCCGAACCCAGCCGACCTCTCTGTCTTACCACCCATCCACCCTCGTTACAAAAGAAATCATGTGCAATCTGATAGTTATCTAAACCGTTCGCAATACCCATCACGACGAGCCACCTCTTCCCTTTCTTACCCACCCTCCACCACAACCATCTCCCCTCCATTCTCACACCACCACGCCCACCCCCAACCACCCCCACCTCCACAAATAGAACAAGAAAAAAAGAAAGAAAAACCCGTGGTCACCGCTCACTGCACCGCCAAACTCAACACCCTACTTCGCCCCGCCTTCTGCGCCACCATTCCCGCCACCCACACCTCCACCTCCTCCAGCGCCCGCCGTGGCGTCTTCTTGCGCTTGAGCAAGAACCCCTGCAGCTCGGCCGGCGAGAATTGGCCTGGTGGAATCTTGGCGGCGAACTGCGAGGCGATGTGTAGGAGTTCGGCGGCGGGGATTGGGATGGTGGTGGTGGGGGGGAATTTGGTGTAGGGGTTTGGAGGTGGGGATGGGTTGAGGTTGAGGGGGGGTGGGGGGGGAGTTTTTTGGTGGTGGTTGTGGTGGTTGTGGTTGTGGGGCGGTTGGGGGTGGTGGTGCTGTTGGTGTTGGTGTTGGACAGGGGGTGGTGGTTGGAGGAGGAGGTGTCGTCTTTGTAGATGTCGTGGTCGTGGTCGTGGTCGTCGGTCTCGACTTCGGTGGCGCCCGAGACGTCTGTCATGTTGCCGTCTTTAGAGGAAGCGAGGGAGAAGGGCGTGGGCGGAGGCTCGGAGAAGGGGGTGAGGGGTGGGAGCGGTGAGGAGATGTGGTCTGAGAGCGAGAAGGTGGACAGCGGGGTGGCGGTGTCGGTGTTCTCGGGCTCGTACATGCGCATGAACAGCTCCCGCGCCTGCTCTTGCGTGGCGTTGGTGAAGGAGACTTGTAGGTCGACGCGTCCTGGTCGGATGAGGGCTTCGTCGAGGGCCTCCGGCTTGTTGGTTGTCATGATGAGCACGCGGCCCTCGTGTGAAGCGACGCCGTCGATTGCGTTCAGCAGGCCGGATAGTGAGATGGATTTCTTCTCGCCCAAGTCGCCTTGGCCTCCGGCTCTCCTGAGTTCGCGGGCGAGGTCCGAGACTTTCCAGTCTCTCCCACCCTTGTGGTTTCTGGACTTGTTAAGAGACTTTTTGTCTTTGTTCTGGTCTTCCTCCTGCTTCTCCTCGTTCTTGCCGTCGTCCGAGGAGGACGAGGATTCGGATTCGGATTCGGAGTCATCCTCGGCTCGTTTGAGCCCGGCCGTGTCGATATCCTCGAGCAGGACCACACAACGCCGGGGGAGAGAGGTAAAGAGGCCTAGCAAATCTTCACTGCTGTCAGGGTAGGGTCCAGAAGGGAGATGACATAGATATCGAGGCCAAAGACACCAGCCAGGGCAAATGACAACGAGGTCTTTCCCGTCCCCGGCGGACCATGGAACAGGTAGCCACGGCGCAGTGGGATGCCGCGGTTGGCGTACCACCGCGGGGTGGCGGGGTGGAGGTACTCGTTCATGTCAGAGAGAATGCGAATCTTTTGCTCGTCGTCGAGGACCACGGTCTGCATGGGACGGACTGGGCGGTTGGCGACCTGCTGCCACGAGTGCCGATGGCCGTAGCGGCGCATGCCTTGGGAGGCCGGGCGTCTGACAATGGTTTTGGCTTGGTGGTCGAGGTAGTTCTGCTCCTTGGCGTGCTGCAAGAGTTGCTTGATCGGCTCGGGAGACCGGCCGAAACACGAAAACACCAGAATCTCCTTGTCCTTGAACTGGGGCATGCCGTTTGCCCCAGCTGAAGGGTCGAACAAGGACTCCTGCTTCCTGTTCAACTTGAAATACCGGCCCCTCCACCAGAAGCTGTGCAAGCCTAGAGCGGGCGTGAAGCGTGGGGGCGCCTTGGCTTCCTGGGTCGAGAAGTTGAGGAAAACGTCGGAGCCATCGGCCGACACCCTGCCTGTCATGAGCTCCGACTCGTCTTCCTCTTCCCACGCCCCCTTGGATGCCGTCTCGGCAGTGAGGGAACGAGAGTCGACCATCTTGGGCTGGGAGGCAAGCCACTTCATCATGTGGAAGTAAATGTCGTCCGAATTGCTGACCTCGATATCCGCCATGAAGTACCGCCGAGCAAGAGTAAAGAATCCCATGTAGAGCTGCATCCAGACCTTGTTGGCGGCCCACAACAGGCCAACCACGGTCAGGATGTAAGTTGGGTCGATGCCAAGATGCTTCCCCGTGAGGTTGTAAAATACCATGAACAACTTCATCAGCGGGTTGAACTGGAAGCCGAGGAGGGGTGACAGCGTGTCGAGGAGGCCATCCGGAAGACCACTGGCACTCTCGGTAGAACTATTGGCGCCATGGCTGGTATTAGCTACGAGGGTAGGCAGAGTCCCTCGTAAAAGGTTGCTGAAGTCCATCGGGGTTGCAGAGCCAGCAAGCGTGTTTGGGAGGGGTGGTGGGGGGGGGGGGCAAAGGACAACCGATGAGACTTGGTTAAATCTATGTTACGCCAACCCGGGAATAGTCACAATGCCGTGTTGGGAAGAGGAAGAATTACTGATCTGGGAGGAGCGGGATGACCTTATACTTTTCAGACGGCGGTGGGTCCGCAAAGGGGTGGTGAATGTGTAAACATACGTAGTAAGGCTGCCCTCGTCCTTTATTGGCGGCCGCTGGAGAGATGGCCATCCTCGATCCCGGCCGAGGGCCTGTTCGTGGCAAAAAAGAAGATGGGATGAACAAGGTAGACCCGCAGAGCTGGGATAGATGGCCGGCACTTTGACCATGCTTCGGTCGTACACACCGGGGAGTTACGGTAGCTCAGCATCAAGAGTAGACAGGCAGTCCTACCCTCCAGCGACTTTAATTTTCTCCTTTGTGCGCACTAGATAGTATTAGAGACGCCAGAAATTCCCGTCTGCACATATCCTTAGTAGTTGGCCTAAAACGGTGCGCGAGGACGGAGTATCCGACCTCGTGTTGGGCTTGGGATGCCTTCCGTCCCCTGTTGTCGTCATCGAGAAGAAGTCACCGGCGCTCCACCTAAACAAACAATGAGATTGTGACACGCCGCGCGCCCCAACCATGTGTGTGTCAGAACGCGCGATCCGAGGGACACATATACAGGCCGTGTTAATGGTTAGGCCGTAGGCCGGAGAGACGGGCCCGGGCGAGAAGGGTGTATCAAGGCACCAAGGACCTCCTCCTCAGTCTCCGGGGCCGGGTCCTGGGTACGTATGGCCGCATAACCATGGGCCCGTTGGTTCGGTAGGGGCTTCTCTCTGCGGCAATAGTCAGACGGACGGCGGTCGGGCCACCAACTCACAGTCCATCTCGCGTCCAATGATTGATTTTCGATACAAGCCCGTCGAAAATACAGTGCCTGAGGTTAAGGCATCAACGGTCCGCCCTCGGCCGCTTCAATACCTCCCAAGTCCGTCCACGTTGTCTCCGTGTTGCTGGAAGACTGTTCGTCCAAGGTTTCTCTCGAATGTCTCACCAGACTACCGGGACCAACAAGGCTGTCTATGGGGACACCGGCCCACTGGCAACGAGTGGGAGGAAGCCGAGAAGCCAACAACAACCAAGACAGAGTCGCTCGTGGGTGGGTAAAGAAGCGGATTGGCCCCCAAACCAAGCTCATGGAACTGGCAAGACTGGGACATAACTATCCGTAAATGACTCCCTGGTCCGCATGAGTGGCATCGGTTCCGGTGACGAGTCAAGAGGCAAGAAATCGGGAATTAGCTGTCCAATGAAATGACTGTTGAGAGCATAGTTGTGGCTGTGTATCGCCTCTTTTGAGACGCGGGTGTTCGAGATGGGGTTGGCCTCAAAAAAGGGCGTGGCATGGAATGGGCGATGTGCAGGCGATGAGATGAGGGCTGGAGGGGTCGGTTGGGGGAGCTGAAGACGGGTTTGGGTTGCAGTGAATGGCCTGGCGTCTGGGGTAAATGAGCAGATCGATGCAAATACTTGGATCCTAACAGATCCAGGTGATATGTATAAGGAAGGTCTGTTAGAAATCAAGTGTCTGCGGAGTCGGGTTCAGCCCCACTCTACATTCCACCGCCCCGAATGCAAGTCATTACAGGCTGACCAGGTCCCTGGACCCCTTCTGAAACGCAAGAACTGCACCCAGCCCAGACCCCCAATCGGCCATCCATTTCAGTGCCTTGCCAGCTTCCCGAAGCTGACAGTTAGTTATCTGCATGACGACGACTGATCGTCCATTCGCCCACACAGCTGAAAGAACTAATCACCCCCAAGGCAGACAGTGAGACGACGAGCGAGTTATCGGCTGCTGATGGCCCCAAATTCAGCCTCGATAATTATGCCGAATGTTTTAAGACGGGTCGCGGCCACCGAGCCGAGCATGGAACGAAACACCAAAAAAATATCAACATGTCGACATTGGGAAATACCCGACCTGCTACAGAATGTAACACTCCCTCTCGACATAGCAGGGATCGTCACAACAACACAAGCTGAGCACTACCAACACGGCCGTGTTGAGCCTCTTGGCAGGCAGACAACTCAGAGACGGTCGCCGGACGTATGGAACACAAGTCACCGCCTCGATAGCCACAGCACTGTCGACTAGTGTGCGTAGTCGGCTTCCCATTGGTTTTCCGCGGGCCGTCACACACTCTTTGGGAGACTTGCTGATGGTGTCGCGGCTCACAGCATGGCCTTGTCGGATCAGAGCCGGATCCTCCCACCCATATTACCTGTAAATTGATAAGCCGCGATCTGAACCAGCTCGGTACCTCCCAGGTAAGATAGGTACCTATGCAATGCAGCTTACTCGCAGCTGCTGGCTGCACCCATCGTGGCCCAACCCCCCCAACAACAAGAGTACCACCAACTGCCTTACCACCAGCCGCAACAGCAGCAGCCAGATAGGTAGTTAGATCGCTCGTAAATCAATCAACCAACGATCTTCCCCGTGTCCCCCGTCAACAACGCCCGAGGAGCCTCCGCCGCCCCCACACCATCTCCCTGAACCACCTCAACAGCAGCAGCAGCCTCGCCCATGCCACTCCCACTCCCATTCCCATGACCAGGCCGCCCCTCCCCAGAAGAAGAAGCACGGTCCGGAGAAACGGCCCTACTCGCGCCCCGGCTCGGCACTCTACTCCCCTCCCCCTTGAGCTCATTATCCAGCCAGAGATGCGCGCCGGCCTCCTTAAGCAGCCGCACGCACTCGGCGTTGCCCGTCTTCTCGGCCAGGTACAGCGGGGTGTTGCCGGCGCGGTTGCGGGCGTGGACGCTGGCGCCCCGCGTGAGCAGGTCGCGCAGCACGAGCGGCTCCGGCCCGACCGCCGCCAGGTGCAGCGCCGTGTTGCCCGCGTAGTCGGCCCGCTTGACCAGCTGGTGGTGGAACTCGTCGCCTTCCATGATGGTTGTGCACGGTGTGTAGCTCGCCGTTGCGGATGGCGTATTCGGAGGACGGTGAAAGCCGTTCTAAAGAGGAGGTGATATGAGATAGTTTGAGTTATGATTTTAGATTTGTGTGCTAATGAGT